GGGACACGGGGCTACTGTGCTAAAATACCTGCATTTGATTCATTTTACTGCATTTTAACCCTGTAGAAATAGGAGTTATATTTCTCTGTGATGCAAACCACATAGACGTAGCCTTAATTTTTACATTTTGTAAATGTTTATGTATCAGTATCAGTACCGGCAGATATATGCATGAAAATTAAGCTATCAGGCCCACAGTTTCCATATCAGTGCGTCCTAGAATTAAATTGTAATAAAATGAATATCCAGATTGCTTTATAATGCAGAAGTAGTGATTATAATTGCAGTATATTGTTTATAATTTACTAACTTCTTGTTGATGTGATGCTGCAGAATCAACATGCTGGGCTTGATATACTGCATGTTGGAGGTCTGTTTAACATGCATACATGTGTACTTGTGTACACATCGACACCGCGCAGTGATGTCTCATAAGGGAAACGTCTGAAAGTGTGAATTCCCCATAAAGATCAGGCCGTTCTGATGAATTATCACAGGCCGTAAACATTTAGATACTGGAGCTACATGCCTTAATTGCAATCGATGCTTATACAGTACCTACAGAAACTAATGCAAAAGCCATAATCCCCAAAGCACAGCACAATTAGAGAGACCATGAAAAGACTCAATAGCTCATAAAAGTGGAGCAAAGGGGGAAGAGAGGAGGAAGACGAAAAAAAAAGAAAGAAAGCGCACATCATTTTTAGAGCATGGCTCAAAAAACGCTAGCTCAAACAGAGCAGGAGTTTAGTGCTCTATGAAAAAGCATCAAACTGCACTCTTTTGATCTTCTGTACACACACGCACACACTCGAAAAGCCCTTTGAGATGGATTGAGGAATAAGACCTTCCACCACAGCCGTATTCTTCTCTCTCTCTCTCTCTCTCTCTCTTTCTCTCTCTTGTGGAGGACAGTCAGCACTTGTGAAAGAAAAGACGAGTTTCAAAAAGACTTGAAATCTGTAGCAGCTAAAATCAGAGAGAGGGAGAAAGAAAGATAAGAGAAGTAGAAGAATAAGAGAAGTAGAAGGATAAGACAACAGGCAATGAAAGAGAGATGAAAGAGAAAGTAATGGAGAGTGACAGAGAGAGAAAGAAGGAGAAGGATAAGACAAAGAAAGAGAAAGAGTGAGATATAGAAAGATAGAATAAAAGAAAAAGAGAGAGAATCAGAGAGAGAGAGAGAGTAAAAAGAGAGAGTGAGAAAGAGAAGGATGAGAGGGAAGTAGAAGGATAAGACAAAAAAGACAATGAAAGGGAGATGAAAGAGAAAGAGAGTACTGGAGTGACAGAGAAAGGAGAAGGATAAGAAGAAGAATGAGAAATAAAGAGAAAGAGTGAGATAGAAAAAGATAGAGTGAAAGAAAAAGAGAGAGAAAAAAAGAAGAAAGAGAAGGGAAAGACACTGGAAGACAGAAAGAAAGAAAGCAGGCGAGAAAGAAAGAAAGTAGAAAAATAAAGGAAGAGAAACCGAGAGAGAGAGAGAGAGAGAGAGAGAGAGAGAGAGAGAGAGAGTGGGGAGTCTATATCTGCGTGTGAGTTTTAGTGGGGGTCTTTCCGAGCCCCTCTCGATGGAGTGGATAATTGAGTGCGGCCCAAACACTGTCAGCCAAGCTTAGAAGCCCCAGCTTTTCAACTGCAAGAAAAGGAAAAAAGAAAGCGGCGAGAATAATTGAGTGAGAGAGAGAGAGAGAGAGAGAGAGAGAGGATCAGGGTTGGGGGGGTCAGAGAAAATCCCGCTGTCCCTCAGGGGGGGTGGGGGGTTGGGGGGGGTGGAAAGCTGCTATTGAAAAGCCATTAAACTTGCATTTAGCAGGATTGATTGGAAATGAAGAGGCCTATTAAAAGCGAGGGACAGGAGGACAATAGCGCGTCTCTGGCCGCCGTATGTTGCCCTGCTTTTCTGCTTTTCTCTGCCTCGGACCCTCCTCCCCATCCCTCCATCCCTTTGCTTTCGTCTGTTTAAACACCCCAGGCCCAGAAAAAAGAGGGTGGCTTAGGCCAGCTTGAATAGACCCCAGCTTTATCCTCCATTGGGTCCTCCAGTCTACTATTTAACCACATAGACAAAGAGAGAGAGAGAGAGAGAGAGAGAGAGAGAGGAAGGGGAAGAGTAAAACTGGGGGGTGAGCCAATAGCCAATAACCCTCCTGTCACACAGCGCCACCAGCTCTCTGAAATTTCTGTCAAAAAGCTCCAGCTTCACTCTTTCTCTCTTTCCCCATCTTTCTTTTGTCTCTTTCTCTCCTTTTTACTTTCTCTCTCTCTCACTACTTTCTGTCTCCTTTGTCTCTCTCTTTCTTCTTTCTCTTTTTCTCTCTCTCGTTTCATTCTACCTCTTCCATTTGTCTCTATCTCTTTTCTTCTCTCTCTCTCTTGCTGCTTTCTATCTCTATCTTTCTTCATTCTATCTCCCTCTCACTCTTTCTCTCTCTTCTTTCTCTTTTTTTATTTCTCTCTCTCTCTATCTATCTTCTTTCTATATCTTTTCTTTGTCTCTGTCTCTTTTCTTTCTCTCTCTTTTGCTTCTTTCTATTTCTCTCTCTCTCTCTCTCACTTTATTATGTATCTCTCTTTGTCTCTCTCTCTCCCTCTCTCTCTCTCTCTCTCTCTCTCTCTCTCTCTTTAGTCTCTCTCTCTAGTCTGCTTTGGCTGCTTGCCATTTTTTGAGTCCAGTGGGGGTCCAATGATGAGAAACTTGCAGCAAGGAAACAGCCACACTGATAGTCTATGCAAGAGAGAGAGAGAGAGAGAGAGAGAGAGAGAGAGAGAGAGTAGCTGCAAAATCCAGCCCAGCAAGAAGCAGTAAAGAAGCAGGTGCTGGACTCTCCCTCTCTCCCTCCCTCCCTCCCTCTCTCCATCTCTCTCTGTCTCTCTTTTTCTCTCTTTCTGCCCACAGCGGATGGCTCTCATGGGACGCCTAACACTGCTTTGATTGTTTAACATCCATTTTTACAAAAGCCCCGCCGCCCCCCCCCACACACCCACACAGACACTACCCTAGTGGAATGGTGACGGATTCCTCAGCTTGGCGGGGGCTTCTCTCCCCCCCCTCCGTCAGTCTGCACAGCCCACCATATGGACGGAGGAAAAAGAGTTAAATAAGTCATGAACAGCTGACACCCAGACTCCTCAGCCAGTGCAGGAATCCAAACTGTTGTGAAACGTGTCCTCTCGCTCTGCCAGCGCAGAATGATGCAACGGTAGCCCCGCTAGAGTCAACCAGATAGCCCCCCGCTGACTGTGGCATTTCACACTGATGTGAGACAAGCTTTTGCAGCTTTATGTGTATCCTCAAGCACAGTGGTCCTCGAGTACATGCATGCGGGCATTTTGGCACAGCAAATACTGGACATCTCTGTGCAAGTTGTTCAAAGATTAATTGATCAATTTCCATTAAATTATATTTCAATTAACTGAATATGTGTTAACGTGCCCCTGTGAGTAGTCCTTGAGAGCTTAGACTAATGTTTTCATAGCTGAAAAGTAACTAAGCTAACCTGTTTTTTGCACATCTGGAAACAGTTGCTAAGTTAGTCTAGTTTTGTATAGCTAGAAAACGAATGCTAAGTTAGCCTAGGTTTATATAGGTAGAAAACATTTGTTAACTTAGCCTAGCTTTGTATAGGTGGAAAACAGTTGCTAAGTTAGCCTAGCTTTGTATAGGTGGAAACTGTTGCTAATTTAGCCTAATTTTGTATAGATGGAAAACAGCTGCTAAGTTAGCTTAGGTTTATACAGGTGGAAAACATTTGTTAACTTAGCCTAGTTTTTTACAGCTAGAAAACAAATGCTAAGTTAGCCTAGTTTTATATAGCTAGAAAATATTTGTTAGCTTAGCTTTGTATAGATGGAAAACAGTTGCTAAGTTAGCCTTGTTTAGCTAGACAACAGTCACTATTTAGCCCAGTTAGTTAAAGTACCCATTAATAATATTCGATATTGCTTAGTAAAGGCAATATTAACTGGCCATTGGCTTTGAAAGGATAACAGTAATTATTGATAAAAGCTTTGCCTGACAGATGAGGAGGAGTTTGAGGTTGTGTTTTGTATGGACCACTGCTCTCACTGAGTGCTTCAGCTCTCCGTGTAAAGAGGCAGCGTCTACCTGGGGTCTGCTCTTTGAGTAATGTTGGTCTTTTATCTGATGTCTTGAGCTGTATTGGTGACAGAGCAGTGGGCAAATACATCGGGGTCAGTTTTTGCTGATTGTGCGCTAACATGCTAACATGCTCTGTGCCCTCCCTTTTTCTCTCCTTCTGTAAAATCACTGACTTCAAAGCACTGGAGCAAGTAGCATGACAGATAGTCCATCAGGCTTAGGGTAGAGGGTGAGGTTTCCCCATGATGCTCCAGCTGCCAGGCAAGCTCAGCTGAGAGAAAAAAATCAGGCTGGACAAGAGAAAAAGTGCTAGGATTGTGATGTTAATGAACACTTTGATATGTAAGAATGAGGTCATGTGACTAACTTTTGTGCTTTTACCAGCTACACTGCAGTCTTATTAGTCTTATTCAGTTATTAAAGTGAGGAACTGAAGTGTCCACTCACATATGGAGTTTTAGAGTTTAAGGGGTTATACCAGCTGTAGAAAACATAGGGGTTACATTAGCCTTGAGGAAACATCAGGGTTATACTCTTCTCCAGAAACCATAGGGGTTATATTATTCTTGAGAAATCATAGGGGTTACGTTAGGCTCAAGAAAACGTAAGGGTTGCATTGGCCTTGAGAAAACATAGGGGCTACATTTAGCCTTAGTCTTGAGTGAAGGACTCCAACACAGTGCACAACAATAATGATGCTAAAAGTTACTGTTCTTTACCTTAAATGGTACAATAAGTCTCCTTATCATAGCTCCATGCATTGCTGGACCTACTCCGTAAAAATCGTATTAGATTTTTAAACTTTGTTTACAGCTTCACTTATGTTTTCCTAAAGTTTTGCAAACTTCTGAAAGTGATTATTAATCTTTTTTTTATTTTCTGTTTGTTCTTCCTACAGTGGCTGAAGCAGCTTACTTTTCCCAGCAGCCCCAGGACAAGGTAGTGGTGGCTGGTCAGTCAGTGACGCTGCCCTGTGTCATCGTGGGATATCGAGGCATGGTCCAGTGGACCAAAGATGGGCTAGCACTTGGTGGAGAAAGAGATCTGCCAGGTAAGAACTTCAAAGTGCATTATAATGTGAATAATACCTTATAGCTCCACTGTATAGGTGTAGAGACCTACAGTTTATCAGCCACCTTCTACCCCATTCCTCATTGGTTTCTCACCACAGCAGCACTGTTGACCAGATATGACCATTTAGGTGGTGAAGCAGCTCTGTGGTCAGAAACTTGACTGACTGTTGAAAGACTGTTGATGATGACCACTGATAAAGGGACAGAGGATGGCTAACACAAACTGTGCCTCAACAGATGAGCTACAGTCTATGACTGTATACCAGTGAGTTGGAGCTACAAGGGAGGGTCTTCTAATAAAGTGGCCAACATCATAATAAAGACTTTATTCCTGGGCCCAGACTGCAAATGCCACAGAAATCTGGAGTTTACATACATGACTCAGTACATAATGCTCTATAGGAGCCCATTTATAAAAGCCAGGTCATCATAATCTTTCCAATTATAGACCAGGAGACCAAATTCATTGGAGATCTGGTAGGTAAAGGGCATCTTATTGTAACTAGCACTCGCTGTGGGAGATGAAGTGTGAGTGTGTGTGAGTAATGTCATTGGTTCTCCCACTCAGCGGCTGCTTTATTGAGTGGATGAGCGGAAAAGGCAAAACAAACTCTGCATATAATACAAACGAGCGTTTAATTTGTCTAATCATCTCGGCTGTCTGGTCCGGCTAAGGTGGAGAATCAATTGCCGCTCAGCCGTGCGGTGACATTTAAAGCGATTTCCCGGTGGCTCGGGACGTCACTGTGTGGGCAGACGATAGCATCTCTATGGAGAGTAATCAGCTGTCCGCATGCATGAGGTGTCTCACGTGTGTTTCAGTTGAACTCCCACTGATATACCACATTAAGTCACTAATGTCCCTCAAAACACACCGGCTGAGACAAACTCTCCATTTGTTGGTGTTGGAGATGTAGAACTCAGTAAAGTTCAGGGCAAAGTTTATTACATTTTTGAGTGTTATTACTTTATTGGATCGTCTGGTTGGAAGTCTTTTGATTTTATTCTGATTCTGTATTACAATTTAGTTGGATTTGATGATGTTAGTACTGTTCAAATTATTTACAACAACCATTCACACATGGAATATAAGCAATGATATACATGATAACTCAAGTGAAGCATCGCTCAAGCATCCAAAATGATAAACTATATATGTATATTAAGATTCAAGAATATGTTCTACACAGCAATGGTGGTATTTTGATTAAGTCCATAACAAACAAACAGTAAACCAAGTGCAAGACAAGTGCAAGGGTGGGCAAAGCCTCAGCTTGGGTGGGAGGTAACCAAGCTGATAATGAGCTAATTATCACTAGCTAATGAGTTTCTGGACTAGTTTACATTAACCATAAGTTTGTTCGCACAATTACATTGTTTTAGAGATGGTATATTGTCCTTATATAAGTATGCTTAAAAACATAGTTGGATTAAGATCGCTTTCTCTGTGTGTTAGCTGTCTAATTAGCCGTGCCTGGGCTTTAGCTAACCTTTCTCCTTAGCCGAACCCTAATTTGGAGGAGCAATTTATCTCTATTGGCTCACGTAATAGGGGAAGTAAGTGACCATAGTCCTGCCCATAACTTTTTTATTCACCTATAACCATTTTATGAACTATCTAATATAGATGTTGCAGTGTTTGCTCATATAAACAGTCCGTGGACCTACATTTTAGCTAGCTAGCTTATGTAATTATCTTAGGGAAGTTGAGTAAAATTAGCTCAACCTGCTCAAGGGCTCCTTCCACCTAAACTGAGGCTGGTCTCTGTTTCTGATAGCATGTTCAACCTGAAGGACACCTCTTCCTCTCAACAAGAGTACAGTCCATTCACCTTTTATGACTGGTCAAAAAAACAAAGATAGAAAGAACCAGCTGAACTAACTAGCCATATTTACATGCAGTCTAATAATCTGTTAATAAACCGACTAATAGCCCAATTGGAGTAGAAGACGTCCATGTAAACACCTCAATCAGAATAAACTAGTTTGATTGAGGCCATTTGGAATACAATGCCTATCCGATTGAACGAGGTGGGTAATCCTGTAAATAATCTGTTAAAAAAAGAATAGTATCCATATAAACGCCTGTATCTGATTATATTCCCAATTGGAATGTGTAAGTATGTTCTGATCATGTGCGTCACGTCATAGCGTAAGTTTATAACGTTCAACATGGCGGAGCAGAAATTGGTCTGTAGAGGAGACAAAGTTTATGCTCTGATCTTTAAAAGACGGCGGTGGGACGGACGTCCAGCTTATGTGTCTCAGAACACGACGTCTTCCTCTCGGCCTTCTTTAATAAGGGCATGTGAAGGACGTTTTCCTGAGTCTGACATCATTTTAAAGCAATTAAAAACACAAGCACTGCTCACTGCTGCTCATCTCTCTCTGACTGGACTCACGCGATGCTCGTTGTCATGGTAACATCTACACTGAGTAATTCTGGATCTGATTGCTTGTAGTGTACATGTAAACTGAGGTTTTCCATCATGTTGTTGAGTAGAGTGAGCATTTAAACTTTGCATGTAAACACAGCCGTTGACATCCAATGTTCTCACCAGTTCCTGTGCTTGACAGTTTGTGTTTGTATGTGTTGTCCTCCAGGCTGGGCACGTTACTCTCTACTGGGAGATCCGGCATCAGGAGAGCACAGCTTGGTGATCGAATCGGCAGAGCTGGGGGACGACGCGGTCTACGAGTGTCAGGCCACCCAAGCGGGTCTGCGCTCTCACCGGGCCAAGCTCACCGTTCTGGGTAAGCAGATCATCTGTGGGCGTGTGGCAGACGAAAGAGAGAAAGAGAAGAGCCCTCTGCGGTACACCTCTCCCAGCGAAGCGGAGAAATTACAGCATCCCTCCTAGTAGCCAATTTCATTAGCAGCGTTTTAAATACTGCCTGAAATGTATAACACTGCAACTTTTCTTCTCCCTGCATAAACACTTCCTCGCATCCCCCACTCACTATAAGTCATGACTTCATAATTTATTCTCAATTTTAAATCATGCCCCAGAAGTGTTTTATTATTATTATTTTTTTAACCAAGCAAAACTGACTTGACAGAGCCTGCGAAGAAAAAATATACTCTCTCTCGCTCTCACTCACTCTCCCACCAATAATCAAGCCTGTGAAGGCCCGGGATAATGTGATTGCCGCAGTCACAAATGACTCGCGTGGACGGTTAAAAGTCAAAGTCTGCACAGTTAGCACATTCTACAGTGACTCACAAAATTTGTCAACCGCAGGGCGGCTTTTACATTAACGCAATGTGAATGATCTACATATTCACTGCCATTTAGTGGCGGGGTGGGTAGATTGGGAGGGGGTGCTAAAGAGAGATTCACTAGGGATTTAAAGACGGTGTAACATTACTGACACCCAGTGGCAGACGGTGGAACTACAGCAAAGGCGTCAGTAGGGTTTCAATTACTGTACGCATTACAGCATACTAACGCCACTGTACGCTATGTGTACTTGGTAAAATCACACAGAAAGGGCCGAAAAATGACAGCCACAGCAACGATAACAGGCTTTGTGTGGGCTTGGCTGCAGTGTTCTTGGCAAACTTCCCTGCCAGGAGAACAGCAAATGAAACTCGTGTGCACGGGGAACAGTCTGTATGTGTGCACGCTTGTGTGGGGAAATCAATGCGGCCGGATGAGACCAAAGCAATCCGATGCAGTCAAAGGAGTCAGCGGGCGAGGGTGCAGTCAAGGGAATCCGCATGGAAATTAAAATCACCTAGCGCTCGGATTCCATTAGTGTCCGAGTGGCAGGAGCGACAGAAAGAGCCTCAGACAATTCTGATACAGCCACAGAAATTGGCTTGGTGAGAGACGGCGAGAGAGAGAGGGAGAGAAAAAAAAGGCAGGATGCAGGACGGAGCATGCGAGTGTGCGCGCTCCACTAGACGGACGCCTTCATCAAAGGTGGCATGCTCTGCTTGCCGGAGGGCCGCGCGCACCGCCATGCAAATAAATGAACAAATCAGTAATTCCGATGCAACAGGGCCGCGCGAGAGGATCTGTAAACAGAGTCATAATGACAAAACCTCGCCCCTGTTAAAAGGGCAAAAACACAGGACTTGGCCTCCTCTCCCACCGAAAACGCCCGGCTCACTCAATCTCTCAGCCCATTTACCAAGCCGCCCCGCTCTATATAGGTCAAATATCCGCCAACAGTGATGAATGCTTTAGCGGCGTTCACTAGGAAAGGCCTCGGTGGGCAATGCCTCATGTGAAACACTATCTCCGGTGCAGTCTCAACCCTGAATCATCGCGGCCACACAAAGCAGCCTACAACGGACGCGGCTTAAAGGAACATTTTAGCCAAAAGCAAATCCAATTTATGGTGTGTGACATACTTCATTTTGGCCATTTTTATAGACCAGCCAAGTCTAAGTCGCTTTGATTACTCAACACCGTTTGAGGCAAGTGTGGTGATTTAGGCATGATGCTAATTTTGCCTCCAAATTAACATAACGCTATTTTTGCACCAATTAGCACCAGTTTGCATGATGCTAATTGGTGAGATAGAAGCGTGCATGACTTGTTAGCTACATTAGCCTTGTAGCCCCAGTGCAGAACCAAAGAAGTAAACTTGCTCTCGCTTGATGTACTGCATTTGGAGTGAAGGGAAAACTGCACGTTTGATTTTTTGCCAGGCTTTTATTTTAAGTCTATTTTGGCAGTTTCTGTCAGGAAAAGCAGCTGGCAGTGTTTATGCTCATGCTTGATTCTTCTTCCCTCAGTGCCACCGTCGGACCCTGTTGTTGAGGGAGGCCCCGTGGTGCGGTTGAAGGCTCACACGCCCCATAACCTGACTTGCCGGGCCTCTGGAGCCAAGCCTGCTGCAGAAATCACCTGGTACCGGGACGGAGAGGTCATGCACTCTGCCATCTATTCTAAGGTGAGGCTGCAGGCTTCTCATGATTCGTCAACAAAGCCAGCTATGTTGGATATTTATAAGTGGTGGATTTTTATTTTCATTGCATTTTTACTTCAAAAATGCTCCATAATGTTCAAACTGTATACATCATCATCTCAACATATTTCAATATAACACAGGATGCATAGAGACTGCAGATAGCTAGGTGTTTATCTAGGTTACCATTAGCATAAGTGTCATTACCAGGTTACTCCTAGCTAATATTAGCCTAACTTTACTTAGTGAACTTTACTAGTGAAGACCTTAATGTTAGTTACCAATAGCTGATGTTATTCTTAGTTAATCTTATCTTGTGTTGGTTAGCTAGTGCATAGTAAACCTCTTCATGTTAGCTACGATTAGCTGATGTACCTTACAGTTAATTCTAGTTTAATGTCAGTTGTAGTACATGCCCTGCTGGAAAAAACACTGTTTTATGTTGGTCAGGTCTGGTGCTGGTTTAGTAAGTCACCCCAGCATGGTCATGCTGGTTGACCAGCATACCAGCATCAAAACACAACATATGCTGGTTTTAGTGCTGATCAGCATATCAACTTCCATTGCTGCTGACCAGCATACCAGCATCCAAAACACAACAAATGCTGGTTTTGCTGGTATCTCCCATGCTGGTCTGTGCTGGTTTTTCTAGTAGGGTAATTAACAAATGCATAGTGAAAATCTTCATGTTAGTTCTTATAGTTGATGATACTCCTATGGTGTTGGCTTAATGTTAGTTAGCTGGTGCATATTAAAGCTCTTCGTGTTAGTTATTAGCTGATGTTGCTCCTACCTAATGTTAGTTTAATGTTAGCTAGCTAGAACATAGTAAAGCTCTTTGTGTTAGTTACCAGTAATTGATGTTACTGGTTAACATTAGCTGCTTGTCACAGTAGGTGAAGGGATATTTTAGGAAAGTGTACTACATTTTAAAGTAAATGTATGAAAAGTTCATGTTAACACATTCACCAATCCTAAAAAGCTTGAGAGTGAGGGCTCAAGTCATGTATATTATTGGCTGCACATGTGAAACTTTGAACGATGGCAGCAGTAAAGGGAGAGAAACTGTACTGTAGTTCGATGGGTCAGATAACAGTGGACCGGTTAATTAGTTGTAGAAATAATGGTCAGACGCGGCCCAACTCAGCCCGTCACAGACTGCATGTGGTCTCAGTGGTATCATGCATAGACAGCAAGTCTAAAGTAGCTGAATATCCGCGAGGCAGTGGGTCAGCTGGATTCATCTCTCTCTCTCTCTCTCTCTCTCTCTCTCTCTCTCTGCTGTTCTCACCTCCACAACGTGTCCAAAAAAAGATGTAACATCAAAAATTCTCTCTCTCTTGCCCACTTTCTTTCTTCTCTCTGCACCTCTCATGCATTTCTGTCACCGAGGTGTTATTCTTTTAGCTTTTCCATCTTTCTTTCCATTGCAATGACTCTCCATCTCTCTCCTTGCACCCATCCACCTCTTCTCTCCTTATTCCACCTCTCTGTCTCGCTCTCTCTCTCTCCCCCTCCCTCTCTCTCACCAATGCTCTGGCACTCTAGCATAACTGGAGCATGCCGAAGCGCAGACAGGCATAAGCGTTTGATACAGTGGAGTTTCTGTGGAGAGAGAGAGAGGGACAGAGCGAGGGAGGGAGGGAAAGAGAGAGAAATAGCGAGTGGGGGGGGTGGAGGAGAAATCAGCCACAACAATGCCGAAACACAATGGAGAACGCGGCAGAGCGTGAACCGGCGGCAGGCATGAAAGTGTCACATTTGTCATGCTCTCTGACCACGCTAAACGGCACTAAACTCCACATTTAAGAGGGCAGGAAGAGGGAGAAAGAAAAAAAGGAGAGATAAAGGGAGACGAAAGAGAGAAGTGCGATGGCGGGATGAGATGGAAAGAAAAAGACAGAATAAGATGCCTGTTTAAGAGAGAGGGGTGAGTGACAGGAGGTGAAAAGGAAAAAACACAAGGTGAACAATAGGAGAGAGGGAGAGAGACAGGTAGGCGGATGAGGAGAATGGGAATGGAGTAGTAGGGAAGAGAGTAACTGTGACAGTAGGAGAAAAAAGAAAAGACAAGGAAAATGATAGAGGGAGCGAGACAGGTAGGCAGATGAAGACAAAGAACGGCAAAAAGGAGAAGAGTAAAGAGGAGGTGAGGGAGGATGAGCCGCTCAGAGATGGCAGAAAGAAGAAAGAGGGAAAGAAAGTGAGATGAGATGGAAAGAAGTAGAAAGAATAAGATGCTTGTGACAGGAGGAGAAGGCGGACGATAGAAGGACAGGCTTCAAAACAGGTAGGCGGATGAGGACGAAGAACAGATGAGAAAGTGAGGGGAGGAGAGAGGAGAAAGTAAAGGGGAGGTGAGGGAGGACAAGCTGCTGAGAGATGGTGGAAAAAGAAAGGAAGAGAGAGGGATGGAGTGGAAGGGTGTTGACAGAGCAATGCGATTCAATCTAGCGTAAAAATGCTTTGAGTGAGTCGGAGGTAAGGCTGAAGTGACTCGGGCATCGATTGACCCCCCCAGCCATCCGGCCGTCGCACCTCAACCCAAAATACCGCCTGTGCAGGTTCAATAGTTTATAATAGAAGTTGCTCTGGTGGTCAGAAGACAACAAAGAACAATTAAAATTTTTAAAGCCAGGTCTTGCTTTTGCCAACTGACTCATGATGCGATACACACTGCAAAACATTTGCTCTGATTCAATACATCATGATACACTGTGATGTCAGAATTGGACTGCAGTGGATAACATCATGGACCACACAACATGATGATTTAATTATGATGTTACAATGGCTAATATCATCATGACAGTTGTGATATCATAATGGCTAACATCACAGCCCAATTGTGACAACGCAGTGGTTAACATCATGGTCCAGTTGTGACATCACATTGGTTAACATCATGATCTAAATGTGACATCACAATGGTTAATCATTATTATCCAGTTGTGACATCACACTGGTTAAGAATGCCACGATCCAATTGTGACATCACCATAGTTACCACCATGATACAACTGTGACATCACAATTGCTAAAAACATCATGACCCATTCGTGACGTCACAGGAATGAATATTATGATCCACTTGTGACATTACATTGGTTAACATCATGATCCAACTGTGACATCACAATGGTTAACATCATGATCCAGTTGTGACATCACAGTGGTTAACTACATGATCCAACTGCGACATCACAACGGTTAATCATTATTATCTAGTTGTGACATCACAGTGGTTAACATCATGATCCAACTGTGACATCACGGCAGTTACTATCATGATCCAATTGTGACATCACAATGGTCAACATCATAATCCAACTGTGACATCACAATGGTTAAACATCATTATCCAACTGTGACATCACACTGGTTAACAATGTCATGATCCAGTTGTGAAAACTGTGACATCACACTGGTTAACAATGTCATGATTCAGTTGTGACAACTGTGACATCACAGTGGTTCACAGCTACATGATCTGGTTGTGACATCACAACAGTTAACAACACCAGGATCCAACTGTGACATCGTGGTTCATTTTGGTTAAACAACCAGTGCTAAAAACCTAATACAATTCAGTACAGGAAATTTCAAAAACAAAGTCCAAGTAGAAATTAGAATCCAAGTATATATTACACCCAGCGCAAGAAAACAGATCAAATTCAACACTTAAGTACCTGCAGGTTGCTCACAATTTACTGAGGTGCACTCAAAACACAGCACAGAGCAGTTACCACCTGCATCCTTAAGACAAAACAGGGGCAGTACGATTCTATAAAATGAAATTTAAAATAAAAGTGCTAATACAGTTAACATCAATATGGGAAAAAGCCACAAGCACAGTGAGTCAGAATCAAAACACAGGTTATAATTCATTTAAAATCCAGAGTGCCAGCGGTGGTGCAGCTAAAGGAGTGCAGGAGGGCAGCTAAACTTTAGCGCGGACCACAGCCCCACTTAGCCATATCGATCCAGCAGTGCACAATAAACAGATTTAAAAGATGATGAGAAACAGGAAGAGCTGATGGAGGGCTCTCTGGGAAAAAAAATGTGCTCGCAGCAAAACAGGATCATAAAACACACGAGCTCACCTGCCACGCTCAGGCGAACGGAGCTCTAATCCTGCTGAGCACTCAGACTGCTCAGGATACATCCACATTCATTTAGACAGGATTAAAACTAGGTGTTGCCAAGTGGCTCCTAATATGATAGTCTTTATGATACATGTGTCATGTTTGGATATATCACAGTGGGTCATGATGTCACCATTGGATCACAATTGCTGGTGCTCAAGGAATTCTGTTTTTATGGTAGTATTAAACATGAGTTGATGCAAAAGCTATGTAGCAAATTTCTATCTGTGTATAGAAGCCATTTGTTAGCCTTTTTGTAGCTACTGCCTTCAATAGGCCTTAAATAGGTACCTTAAATACGTATCCATAGTATATGAATCATAGCAATGGGCATGAATTATTATTGTATTATTATTACTGACCCAGAAATAAGTTTTGCTAGTAGGGGTGCGGAAAAACTCGATTCTTAGATGCATCGCGATGCGGACGTGAACGATTCTGAATCGATTCACAAATGTCAAAAATCGATTTTCTAAATATTTAATTTATAACGTAATGTTGACTGAACGCAAAGGGCGGAACTGGAAGTGCGGAAGTGCAGCGCCCGGACAGTCTGTGGCGGCACATAACAAAAACACAACGGGATGAGTGAGAAATCCGACCGGCTCCCTCTGCATTAAAGCCAGGTTAGGTCAGGAGTCACAACACAAATGATAAGAAGAGCCATTTTGTCCTTTCAACAAAAATCAGACCACCTTAGGAGCCGCAACATTTAACGCCCAGTATGTCTCAGTGTGTGATAATGTTGTAGTATGGGCTAAAAATATAAACGAGAGCGCAGATTTACTTCGCTCTGCTTTAAGCTTCAGCTTTAGCCGCTTTCCTCCCATCTCCGCCAGAAAACCTTTCTTCAAAACTAGATCAGTTTCTTGTAAAATGTCTCAGCGTCCGGCTGTTTTACGAGGCTGAAGTCGCTTCTCATTTGCCAGCTTCTCGTTCTGATTTTCCCGTTCCACCTTAAATTCTGCCTTAGGCGCCGAATGTAACTGCTGCACCATTTAAGGTGGAACGGGAAAATTCGAAAGAGAAGCGAGTTCATTTTCGACTTTTTAGAGAAAGACAGTCTCTCATTGCAGATTTAACCAACCGCGCTGCTTATAAATGCGAATAAGTCCTCCAAATGTTCGTCTTAATCTCTGTTTTTTCGTCCGCGGCCAGACTTTGGTGCTATGTGACCTGCTGTCTGCTCACTGTTCTGGGTCGTTCAGAACCAGGGCTTTCGCGCTATGCTGCACACTTTGGAGCCGAGATTCAGCGTCCAGTCTCGAAAACACAACACACACACACACACACACACACACACACACACACACACACACTCTCTCTCTACAACGAGACCAAAACCGAAGTTATAAGATCACGAAAGAAAACGGGCAGGATGGCTGTAACGTGCTGCGTGGACACCCATTACCACTTTCAGGGTAACAGCGCATTTTATCGCAGATGAGTGGCAGCAGCGTCTCTGAATGAGAGCCTTCTAGTTCACTTGCCACATCACTTCCATTTGATTTATTAATAAAAGACATTTTAGATATTTAAAGCAAAGTATTTGTAGTGATCCGTAATGCATTTACATTATGGATCATTACAAATACTTTGCTTTAAAACTACCAAGTTTTTAGACAGTAGGAAGATAGAGATCCTGTACAGAGAAAAAAGATGAATCGATAATCGTTTTATAATCGCATCGCAGCCCTCTGAATCGTAATCGAATTGAATTGTGAGGTGCCTAAAGATTCCCACCCCTATTTGCTAGTGTGCGTTCCAATAAAACACATAGTTATTTGATTAACATACTTAATTTTTTAAGAGCATTAAAAAAGTTATACAAGTAAAACAACACTGCATTTAAAATTGATTACATTATGTTCAGTATTACCACACATTATAACATTTATATATAACGTATGTTATATAAATGTATTAATACCTGGCTGGTTTCTTTCCTCAGTCTCTGATGGAGGATGGGAAGAGAGAGACAGCAGTCAGTTTGTTACCGATGGTGCCTGAGGACCGCGACTCTGGACGAACCTACACCTGCAGAGTCCTTAACCCGGCCGCACCCGCTGGACGCCAAACCTCCGTCACCATCAATGTTCAACGTTAGTGACATTTTAGCTCTTCAGAACACAACGGCATCGAACTTCAGGACCATTAGTTCAGTCTAGCCTAGTGTTTCACAACCCTGGTCCTGGAGGCCCACTGCTCTGCATTTTAGTGTTTTCCCTGATCCCAACACACCTGATCCAAATGATCCGCTCATGAACAGCCCATTATTAAGCTAAAATGGGTGTATTAAAGCAGAAAAAGCTGGAACTATTCAGTACGGTATAAGATGGATAAATCAATAGATTACTTTAAGCATTTCAGGCTCTAAATAATGTCTTTTCTCCAGCATTGAGTGGAATGCAAGGTCAAGAATAAGCTCCAACATCATAGACCATAGTGCTACTTTTGTATGCTATACATTTTTGTGCGTTCCTGCACATTCAGTTCCTCGGCTGAAGCAATTGCTTGGCAGAAAATAAAATTTGCACCATTTTTCCTTAATCACAAGTGTAGATGATTGGTCAAGACTGCACGGATATATAGACAAACATGCAAACAGAATGTAGGCTTCAAGGTGGCCGCTGCTGTGTTTAGATAAGTACTTTTGTCCATGTTTATAGATAACAGTATGCTATACAATGCCAGAAACAACATAAGCAAGTCTATTTGAGATTACAGCTCCACACAGATTTATATACAGGATTCGAATTGAGGGGTGGCTGAGCAGTCCCAGACCTCCCATAAGAGAGAAAAAACTGTCATTACTTTGAATAAAATTGGAATTTTCTGACAAAATGACAACTAAGCATACTTTTTTATGACCTAAATGATCTATTTAAAAGGTAGGATATTGGTATGTCTTGTAATCAGCTTCTAAATGTAAAAATCATTAATATTCAAGCAGATAAAAAGTGTGATATGTAATGCTTGTGAAAACCTACAGGGTTAAACTCCACAAAAATGTATTGTGAAAATAGCAGGTGATAATTCCTCTCCTCATAGTTAGACTTTCCCAGCGTAGGCCCCCTCCAAAGACCTCTGCCACAATTCGAACCCTGTTTACAGATACAGTTCGCATGATGTTAATGAGTATTCATAGGCTTTCATTATTTGGGATTGAAAAACGGTGTGATTAGCTCTGTGTAACCCAGAGGTGTCGTGTTTTAGATCCACCCTCAGTGACTCTGTCCGTCCAGCCCCAGACTGTGATGGAGGGAGCTAAAGTGTTATTCATCTGCTCTGCCTCGGCCAACCCAGAGATCACTGGCTACAGGTAAAGCAAAAAAAAAAAAGAAACAATACATTCAGCACATAATCCCAGCTTAGCAGAGCATCAGAGCAGATAACATCTCAGATAGGATTGGATTACGTTCACAATGTCTGGCTCGTGGCTGTTTCAGCATATTGCAGGCATGTGATAGGGGTAGACCTTACAAGGTTAGTCAGGTAATACTATGGTGCCATTTATACATTTGTACAGATGTAGTCCACAATGTTCCTCTGTCCCACAATTGACCTTTTGGAATATTTTCCAACCCTGGTTCTCAAGTATTGTTTACCAGTTCTAAGGAGCTAAATACTATGATAATCGATAATATCAACCAATGTGATTTTGTATATCGCTGCTGTTGACATAATTCAAAAATACCCACTGCCCTTTACATTATGTGTAAATTTGATGAATAGACCAAAAGAAATGTCCCAGAATGACTTAGAAAGACATCTGGTTCCATTGACTTACATTAAAAGTATGTTTTCTCCTTCTCCTGTAAAGTTATCATTTTGGAGATATGAGATTTTGTTCTGACAACAATATGCTAAAAAGATCTCAACAGACTCCAGTAGTCTTAAACACTGCTTTACAGACTGATATGATTGTCCTGCCTCCGGCCTCCAGATTTGCAAACATTCTAGATATTAATTTTGGATATTAAGTTTGATGTTACACACTTTTATTCAGAATTTGAAACCAATGATGTTGTAGAGAGCTAGCATCTTATTAGAATCCTTTTAAATTGCCTTAAAAGGTGGTCCAAAGGCGGCATCCCTATCTCCGAGGCTAATGGGGACAGTCTGGAGGTGACTGTCGATCACTCCTACTTCACTGACCCTGTATCCTGTGAGGTGTCCAACTCTGTGGGCAGCACCAATGTCAGCACACTGGTGGACGTACAATGTAAGTACAGCACTGGCTTTTAATTATCACTGTCAAGAAAACCTGCTTTTCTTTTTTTAAGCACCATTTGAAAATGTTTTTTGCAGTGGCTGAAGAATCCATAACGAATGGACCGATAGAAACTCTGAAAAGCAAACCTTCCAGCGTTCTTTTAAGTTACATTGACAGATTGTTTTGTTTTTGAAGGATCAGTACGTAACATTCACCCTTAGCGTCAAAACATAGATGTGCTGAAGAGTGTTGCATAGGCAGAGTGTTTACTGCTAAATTCAATGGCGTTTCATTCAAGGCAGTCTTACCATTTTCTATGCACTTTTCATGCTTTATTGGCTGCTGCTTTATAGAATATCACTTCAATACAACCTGCAAAACTCCCAGCCTGTGCATATGGTTTTGTTTATTGAGATAGTCTGCCATGTGTACTTGAAGTCCTGTCCAAGTATTCCCTTCAATGGGCTTGATCTGAAAGTTACACGTTCCTTTCACTTCTCAAGGCTGCAGTCATGCAAGACATAATAGACTTTGGTTGTGATGACGCACGTCAGAAGCACCATCAAATACATACATGCATGTGTATATCCAGACCACATCAAAAGCTCTCATGTTCTCATGAGACGCGCTCATTAGAGACGCTTATTACGCAACAGTAATGAAATGCTTTGTGTTTAATTTATGTGAGTAGAGATGTTTCAATAGAACTTTTTACCACATTGTCTCTGTTTTTTCTTTTTCTCTTTCTCTCTCATGCTCCAGTTGGGCCCAGGTTGTTATCCGAGCCCAAGCCCCTGACAGTGGACACAGGTATGGATGCTGCGTTCACCTGCGCCTGGACTGGAAACCCCCCTCTAACTCTGGCCTGGACTAAACAAGGATCTAGTGTGGTATGCCACCCTCTTACCTCATGTTTCTAATGCTGTTCACAATGTTCCTCTGATGAATGATTGATCTTGGGTGTGTTTCCCAATACTGGTTCTCAAGAAGGACTTGGCTGATATGTTTTATCACCGATACCAATTTTAATGAGTAAAATGTTACGATAACCGATAATATCAACTGATTTGATTTTAAATGAGATAAAAAATGAAACAGACTACAATAGTCTTTATTAAACACTGCTGAGTGACTGATCTCATCATCAGTAATTCAATATAATAAACAGCAGCTAATCCTATAGTACAGTCATGTGCAAATGTTATCTAACTGAAAATAAGTTAACACATCCTCCACAGAAAACACACCTCTGCACATTTTAATACACAGGTACTGTTTGTTTATCTGCTGAATTTAACGTATTGGAAATTAATAAAATGTAAAATGTGGCTTTTGCGGAAGTTATGGCACATTTTATGTTTTATGATTTTACAATATGTTAAACTCAGCGAATAAATAGAAACTGTGCACTAAAATTAGCAGAAATATGCCATATTTAGGGTGTTCTCTATACAGGGTGTGTTCACTTATTTTCACTTCAAACCGTGTCATTTCTCGGGGGCGCCCAAACTTTTACGTATGATTGTGTACATACAAAACAAGCCACTAAATAACTTTATATTCTGAAATGAGGTAAATAGCATGAATTCACTCTAAAGGAAGAGGAGCTTCCTTCATGTAACATGTTTGGTTGTTATTTAAAATAATATCACATCCTTGGATGTGTTTATTTTTTTATGTAACATCTTATATACCGTCTTTCTGCAGCCCCCTAGTGGCCACTCCACAGGCAGAATGGAAATGGACTCAAATATTTTTCATTATCATAATTAAATCACATATTTATAATCAAATAGCATACCGTTTCCTCATAACTCTATTATCAAATTAACTAGGCCGTACGTTGAACCGCTAGGGAGCAATGCTGATTGTAGCAGTTCCTCAAAGATGGCTCTGCTGAGACAAAAAGAAAAGCACCACTGCTCTTTCCTGGATAAAACAAATGCAAACAGTTGCTACAATAAAAAGCCATTTAACACAATAAAATCACTTTTATAAATATTGGCTTGATTGTTCATCCTCCAAAGATGAAGATCCAGTCGATCTCTAGTTTTGTAAATCATACATATTTCCAGGCCAGTGAAAAAAAAATAAATAAATAAACAAACAGAAGGAGCTACATACAGGTAGAAATTCATTTTATGGCTACTGTGAAAAAGGGTTAAATAGACATTATCCCTAAACGATAATATCGTCCAATTTTATTGGCCAAATGATATATCGGTCGAGCCCAAAACTGCGTATATTGGTGCTTTCCCAGCTCTGAACGTTGACTCAACTTATCAGCTAATTAATAAGCCCCTCTTGACATTAATATGAGTGCGTATGATCAGGGCAAATGCAAAAATGTGCAGTTCAGCGGGACGGCAGGACCAGAATCGGTAAACACTGATTTTGGGTATTAATGACAATCTGTATCGATTCGTGACGCGAAGCTTAAGAAGGAAACACTAAGCTTAATCACAGCTGATCTGCTCCCAGTACTGCCACAGATAAGTTTGATCAGAGGGATGCGTGGCGAATCGCTGCCATCTCGGGCATTATCCATTCACGAGAGCGCACTGGCTTAGAGAGCGAGCTGATTGTCAGCCAGCGCTGGTATATTTCAGCCTACTGTAGACCCTCTGCATCACACATCAGCCAAATATCTCCTGGGAACAACTCTCATGCTGTCTAATCGGATTTCACAAAGAGCCCGAGAAAGCAAACAAGGACCAAGAGAGGAAGGGGGGAAGAAAGAGACGGAGTTTTAAAAGCCAGAGGGCCGTGCTGAAGCAATAGGCTAATTTTGATGCTACAGCAACCCCCCCCCCTCCCCCCGACACTTCCTCCTCCACCCCTCTGCCCCATCTAAGAGCAGGGCTGATCTAATCCTCGAGCGGCGCGTTTACTTCATCGCCACGAGATATGGATTAATTGGCTAATTCGATGAGTGCCTGCGAATGAAAAATCGAGGGGAGCGCTAAACGGATTAATCTGAGTTTGGCGGGGTTGGGAGGGGAGGGGTGCCTAATGATCAATGGGGCCTAACGAGCCACCGCCGCGCGTGTTACTAACACAGCCGAGGCGAAAACGCATAAATGAGACTGCTAGCACATACACTTCTACAAAAAACGTGCTAAAAAGGGTTCTTTGGAGTGGCGCCATAAAAGAAGCTCTTTTGTTTCTTCATAGAACTTTTCAGTGGATGCTTTTGATTACAATTTTTTAAAGAACTATCAATTGAAAGGTTTCAGATCGCTCCAAAGAACCTTCCTGGCACAGTTATTTTTAAGAGCGTATGCCCAGTCCAGACATTTTTGAGACAGTAGTGCACTTTAGATGGTAACTGAAGGATTAGACCAGTCAGTTTTGAGAGATTTTATGCTAAAATGCACGCCTCTGAAGTAAGAAACTCGGCAGAAATTAGCTCCCTTAGGCTTTCATGAGGCATAGAACGGCATCCAATTTTGGGTTTGAAATGCTCTTCTACAACTACAGCATAAAAACTGCTCAGAAACATCACCTCCCCTGGTTATTGTGTGAATTATAATCGCCAAAAAATTAGCATCAAGTTATTAATTGCATGTTAACATGGCAGCTAGAATGCTAGCCACACTAGATTCAGTTAGCTGTGTTTCCTACAAGAGAGACAACACTGAGTCTCAGCCAGGTTCTAAATTGTATATTATTATTAGAAGTGCATTGTTATAAGATTTGGTCTTACAACTAGGGGGTAAATCAGTGTTTATTTATTTATTTATTTTGAAAATTTCATTTTTGTGTACTTTTCAACACAGCAATATTTGAGTGTGACGTGTCATTGAACTTAAAATGTTAACAGATTACGATAACTTAACAGTATCGCCAAGTCACTGTCCACGACCCACACTGCAAAAAATGGTATTGTCAACTGAAATTATCTGAAATCTAGTCGATATAGCTCATATTTCCCATTTTTGAGATTTGTGCGTTTATTATAAGATTATCTAGCTTATTTCTAGACATTATTTACTTGTTTTAGGTCATTTTATTAAGTTATCTCACTATCTTAGCAGATGAATTTGCCGGTTTCAAGCACATTACTTAAAACAAGCAAATTAACTACCAATATAAGTGAGATAACTTAATAAAATCACTTAAAACAAGTAAAAATGTCTAGAAATAAGGTAAGTAATCTTAAATTAATCTTACAACAATCTTAACAGGAGAAATATTAGATTTATTGACTATAAGATAATTTTATTCAACAAGGTACCATTTTTTGCATTGCAGTGGTTCAGAAATTCTGAATTAACGTGCTACAACGGACTGAATTGCAAAAAATTGAAATGTGCAGAGAACACAAAACAAAGGGTACTTACATGTACAGTGTAATGATTTTTTTATAAATAATAATCCTGCACAAAGCTAATACTCCACATATGTACAACAACACTGGCAGCTTCGAAGGGTCTACCAGCTAGGCTGAAAAAATCTAAGCAAAGCACTGCATTAGCACAAATGCTACAGAAATGACTCCACGGCATTAGCAGTATATGAGAGTTTCTAAGAGCCATTCTTGTTCTATGCCCCATGGAAGTCTATGGGAGGTAAAATCTGTACTTCAGAAGCACATATTTCATATAACACACTGCAAAAAATAATATCTTAACAAGTGAAAACTTCTTAAATGTAGTCAGTAAATCTAATATTTCTCATTATGAGACTGTTGTAAGAATACTATAAATTTATTCCACCTATTTCTGTACATTTTTACTTGTTTTGAGTGATTTTATCCAGTGAAAATGTCTTATTCCTTTGGCAGATTAGTTTACTTGTTTTGAGAAATAATAAAAAATTGAATGCTTTAAACAGGTAACAAGATCTGCCAATGGAACAAGACACTTTCATAAGATAAAACTGCTTAAAAACTAGTTAAAAATGTCTAGAAATAAGTTAAATAGTCTTACAACATTCTTACGACAGTCTCATAATGCGACATAGTTGATATATTGACTACATTTAAGATGTGTACACTCGCTAAGATAGTATTTTTGCAGTGCAAACACTCTTTAATGAACTGAATACTGGAAGAGGTCGAATCATTCTTTAAGGTGAAAGAATTACAGCTCCAAGTCGAAAGTGTCCCCTCGGTATCGAAGGCAGTGGGCCTTCTCCAATGTGAGGCTCCAGTAATGAAATAGATGACTGCTGCTAATGGTTATGGCTGCCTCACAGGAGCTGCAGGAACATTACAGACTGAAATAAACAGCACAGTATTGGTTTTGCAGGAGATCGTCCCGTACACATGCACTGGAAATATTGACGATGTGATAATGATATTCATGCAAGGAGTGTCCATATGGAGGAATTCTGTATGCTTCAACAGTGTTAATCAATAGTGCAACAAGAACATGGTAGTCTTTCTGGTACAGATTTAGCTCTTTAGACTACAAATGATGTTCAGTGGTCAAGCACTATTGTTGAAATTATTTAAGTTTTTTTTTTTTTTTCCTGGAAAACCTTGACATTTTTCCCTTGAAAACCATGCACTGGTCAAATTAATAGGGTTATGTTATGAGAACATATTACCCAAAGGCCCAAATACCTATGAATGAATACTTCAAGGCCTTGTGGGATTTACATTGTCGTTGTCAAAGGAAAACCTTGCTTTTCTAAATTGGAAAATTCCAAAGGGGGAAAAAAACACATTTTAACATTTACTGATGCAAGATTTTATTCCAGTTAATGCCCAATGGTCCATTCATCATGTAATCTTCACACAGTGTAAAAAAGCAGCTGGTGTTTTCAAATAGGCTTCTTTATTAGGTGGATATTCAGAAACAGCAACAAAATCATGAATTCTGCCAAACAAATGAGGCTGAGGAATTCAATGCTGTGCTACAGTATCTGCATAACATGATGAATAAAATATTAAATGCTATATATTAAATGCTTGTTGTAGGACAGAACGCTTTTTTAAAGTTCATTTGGGTTAATGCCTTATTGAGATCATTACACTCTTAAAGCTGTTTCATACGCATCATGTATCATAGCTCCAGGCACTGAACAGCATGTTTTGAGCATTGCAGTGTTACTGATGCTGTGTGTTCATGAATGGCAGGTTCTCAGCAATGGAAACACACTCCAGCTAAAGGCAGTTACTCAGGAAGACGCTGGGCTGTACACCTGCAAAGCCATCGTGCCCAGGATTGGTGTCGCCGAAAGAGACGTCACCCTCACTGTCAACGGTAAAGGAACTCTCTCACCCACACACACACACACACACACACACACACACACACACACACACACACTCAGTGCTCCAAACTGCTTATTAAAGTCATTTATAGAGTGTAAATGAATGTAAATGTCAGAGAATCTGTTTCTGAAGGAGCTATTTCAGGAGTTCATCCTGAACAGTTCAGTACAGACTTCAGTGCTAACAATGCAGCACTCAAAACACACCTATCTCTCTCTCTCTCTCTCTCTCTCTTTCTGCTTCCTCTATCTCTTTCTCTTTTTGGCACACTCTTGTTTCAATCCATTATAATTACTATTATTATTATTATTATTATAATAATAATAATAATAATAACAGTGTCTCACTTTTTGGTCTCTTTTACATTCTCTCTTTCTTTTCTCTCTCTTCTGTCTGTCTCTCTGTCTTTCTCTATCTATCTCTCTCTCTCCCTCATTATCTTTCTCTCTCTACTGCCTCTATCTCTTTCTCTCTCTGCCACACTCCACTCATTATTAATAATAATAATAATAATAATAATAATCATGTAATAACTCTCTTATTTCTCTTTTCTCTCTCTCAGGTCCCCCCATCATTACGGCTGATGCCACTCAGCAGGCTGTAAAACATTCGAAAGGGAAGCTCGAGTGTTTGGTGGGGAGCAGCCCCCCGCCAGACAAGATCGTAAGTGTTTATGTGTGTATGCGTGTGTGTGTGTGTGTGTGTGTGTGTGTGTGTGTGTGTGTGTGTGCTTAGACCCCGTTCACACCTGTTCATTTAATTCATCAGGGTAGAGATTATCCACATTAAATGCAGTTGTTAAAGCACCGTTTAAACAGGTCTAATCTGATCACTCAAACCTCTTCAGGACGCCTGAGACTCATTTTAACCAAGTTATACAAGCGCAAATGCAGCCATGTTCGACAATCAGAACCCCTCCCAATTCTGCGACTCCTCCCTCTGCCGTTCTGCATAACGGGAGAAAAACTCTCCCTCGACTGCTCTGACTAAACAGAGGCATCACTGCTCCCTCAGTTCAGCTCCTGATGGGGTTTCTGTTCTGAATTCAGTAGTTAAAGTAAACACAAAAGGAGAATTTTATTGTTTAAATGTCGCTCCTGGATGGCTCAGGAGGCGTATTGGTGATTCCCCGTTAATTCTTAATGAGAAACAGCAGTAGACAGAAAGGAGACACAGAAGAGGTAAAGGAGAGATTGAGAGCTTAGCTGCAGAAGAAGATGAGTGTTATTATCTTGGCAGATCTGAGCACAATGTGTGACCGTATTGAGATCTCTACTAAAACTCTAGAGGAGACTCTTTTTTCAGGAGAAATATCTGAGCAGCAGGTGAGATTTAAGCAAAAGTCTAAACTTATTGTTGTCTAGGAGAAACAGCAGAGATATTAAGGAGATGTTTTTAAGAAGGTTTTTTTTTCCTAAGCATCAGTTCAGGTGATCTTTACTTTGTTTCGTCATCATTCTCTGTCCGACTACAATACTATACATATTCATAATAACGTTACATTTTAATGCAGGCGGTCTATGACTAATGCAGGGGGGGAGTTATTCTAAACAGTCATCTTCTTGTAAGTGTTGGTGTAAAGCTGGTGTAAAGAAATGAATAACAGCTTGCAAAACTGTGATTTTTGAGGCATTGTTCATTTCCTCACACCAGCTTTACACCAATGTTTACAAGATGATGGTGTAAGGAAGTGAATAACTCCTTGCAACACTGTGATTTTTGAGGAGACACTCATCTTTTGAACAGAACAGGGAATACAAAGAATAGCACAGGCTAATGGTTGTTGCTTATTATGCACCATACACCAGATTTCAATTTGACCAACCAGAGACACATTTGCAGTTTAAATGCTAGTGGTTAAAATCGCATCAGGTTACAATACAGATACATTTGACATGAAACAAGCCGGTGTAAAAGGGGTCTTACACTCAGAACAGCATCATTCTTGACAAGCTTTTCCCCAAACACACACTTTTTCTGGTGTTTTTTTCCTTGTGTACATGTAAAACATACCTGAGGCTTCTTGACCACCCACAAAGATCTGGAGCTATCTTCTTTTCTTACTTGATTCTCTCTCTCTCTCTCTCTCACTCTCTCTCTGTTTGTGCATCTCACACAAACACACACATACACACACACACACACACACACACACAGACCCATTAGAGGCTGTTGGTTGAAGAGGCTGCTCCTGTATCTCACCTTTCCCCTCCCCCACTCTATGTAAACTTTAAACACCTCTCTCTATATATCTCTCTCTGTCTCTGTCTCTCTCTCTCTCTCTCTCTCTTGCAATTAGCGCCCAGTTCTGGTGACCCTTGTGACCCCCGCTGCACGAGCAAGGCCTTCACTGGATAATTAGGGTCTAAGGTGCAGAAAGAAAGAGAGAGACAGAGAAACAGAGAGAGAGAGAGAGAGAGCATGAGAGAGAGAAGAAACAGAAGAGGTGAAAGAGGATGAACGATGGGAACATACAACAAGATCAACAAGAGAGAAAGAGAAAGAAAGGGGAGAGAGGAAAAGACGGGGAGATAGAAAGCGTAGAGTAAAAGAGGTAAAGAAAAAGGATGTAAAAGGATAAATGATCGAGATTCACAACAAGAAGAGTAGCGAGAAGAACAAGAGAGAGAGAAAGAGTTGAGGAGAGAGGATAAACAAGAGCAGAAGAGAGGGGGTGAGTGAGAGAGCGAGAAGGAGCAAGAGAGAGAGAGATATGAGTGCTGTTGTCTGGGTGCAGGTTGTTATATTGTTAGCTCAGGCTGTTGATGGAGACCACAGGAAGCACAACACACCTCATCCCCCCTCTGTGATTCTGCACTGACCTGCTGAAAAAGAGCAGCTTGCTCGCCATCTCTCTCTCTCTCTCTCTCTCTCTCTCTCTCTCTCTTTCTCTTTCTCAACTGAAATATACTAGATCAGCCAAGTCATGCTTGGTGTCTGAAGCTTTGCTTCACTGGAGCTACGAGAGTGTCTGAATTTCTTCTGCACTTTTGTCCATGTTTATTGGTAACAGTATGTGATATGGTGTCAGACACCACATAAGCAGGTCTATGTGAGATCTTTCATTTGAGATTACTTAACTTGAAACAGTGTCTTATGGTTAAGGCGTGTGGTTTGTGCAATTTTAATAAGCTTCAATTACTCGTTAGCTACATTAATCTCGTATCTTCACTGCAGAACTAAAGCAAACCTCAGACACCAAGCATGTCTTGGCTGATTAAATTTGGGAAAAGGGGAAAAACTTGGGCTTTTTTGCTGAGCTATTAATTTACAACACTGAATGCTGTGCATGTCTGTAAAGCTTCTGTTTAAAAGGAGTCCAAAACTGTTCTGTCCATTCTCAGATGTGGACATTCGGGGACATGAGTTTGTCATCCGGCTCTTCTGGACGTTTCTCCGTTCAGACGGTCAACAGCGATCATGGCGTCGTGTCCTCACTCATCCTGTCTGAGACGCTGGCCCAGGACTTCCAGCTGCGATACAACTGCACGGCCTGGAACCGCTTCGGAACAGGCACAGCGCTGGTCACCCTCAAAGAACAAGGTGGGGCTTCCTCAACTGCTGTAGTCTCTTCAGCCAGACTTATGGCTCTATTTCCTCATATCCAAAACACATGTGCACTGGCCACTATTAGATATACCTACCTTGTTTCTATACTCATCGTCCATTTTAGGTCCATGTATCATATAGGTGCACTGTGTAGTTCTGCAGTTATAGATTGTAGTCAATTTGTTTTTCTGCATAATTAGTTAGCAACTCTATCTAGTTTATTAATGGCCAAGAACCCACTAGGACCAGCACTGAGGGGGTATTACTGGTCATTCTACATTTATGGCATTTGGCAGACGCCCTTATGCAGAGCAACTTACAATTTGAGCGTTTTACACAGGCAGGTGAAGGGAGTGTTAGGAGTCTTGCCCAAGGACTCTTATTGGTATAGTGTAGGTGGAGGACTGACCCCCAGTTTGCAGCATAGGTGTTACCCTCTACACTATACAAACCACTGAGGTGGCTACGATCTGTAACTGTAGAACTGCAAAGTTTATCTCTATGGTAAGTAGACTTGATAAAATGGACAATGAGTGTAGATGCAAGGTAGGTGAACCTAATAAAGTGGCCAGTTAGTCCAAGTCAATATACATGATGTCTTAGCCCTGGGACTTTAAATTCTTGGTTGGCATGGTGTGCAGAGCAGGCAACTGCTTGCAACTGTTGGCTAGCTAGTATTTAGCTTGATAAACGAAAGTTTGCCAACTGATAAAACCTGTGCACAGCAGTGTGCACACATGGCGGTGCGGATAGCCAGTCAAATTAACAAAATTCTGATAGTGGCAATTCTGACATACAATAAATATCAGACGGCCCGTACACCTCTGTGTGTGGAGCTTCTGAAGCTGAGACTACAACTGCTTCAACTGGAGAGATGTGGCAGCTGGACTGACTCAAAAAAGTTACTAAGACAGATTTACAGCTTTAAGTCTCCTTTTTGTGATCAATATTTCACTTTCTCTTGTGCTAAGGGGAGAGTGAGAAAGGGTGAGGGATGAAACGACGCAACGATTTAAGACAGGCTTTTAAGCCAAAGCCTGGCTTTGGTCATTTGTAATGGAGGGATGCAAACGAAAGCAACTCTGAAGAGGGAGAAGAAAAATGCCAAGACATGCAACTGAAGAGGTGCCAAGGGTTTTGTGATGAGATGAGTTTGTTCAGAGCATCTGGGGATAATGTAAGGGTTTCATTTAGTGGGTTATGTCCTGTGAAGTAAAGGGTCCTTTTTGGCTTCCTTCTTATCCTAGATGAATCGTGACAGGTCCTTCTTCAGAGTCAGCGGCCAGCGTGCAGGAAACTGGCTAAAGTAGACTCAGGAAAGAAAAGCCCTCCAGTAGTGCGCTTATCTTAATTATACACCGGCAAATCAATATCATTTAATCAGGAGATGGTGTACTTAATGAATACATCTGCCCCATAACACAGATATAGATTTTGAGCCTGAATCAATTAATTCAGGGCCAATGGGTACCCCAGCGTATCGCTTGGCTGTGCCTTTGCTCGGCACACGTAGAGGTACTGGAGCCTGAATTTGCTTAAATAAGGTTGAGCACATGGTAGTGGGGAGCGGGCCTTTGTAGTGGGAGACACCGAAAATGAGGTCCTAGCCAGCAATTTGCATCAAGGCAGAAGAGGCTTGTCTCAGGAGAGGCAGGCAGCAGTGCTATCTCCCGCAATCTCTAATTAGATTAGTGTCAGCTGCCTCGCTGCACGTCAGGCCTGGTTACCCCTCTTCCAGCCGAGATTAGAGCCAATCGCTGGGCCCTGGGACGCCACACTGGATGATTTTCTATATGTGAAGCCACGGCCGGAGATGTGGTTGAGGCGGATGGTTTTGAAGTGCGCTCGGCAGTCTGCTCTGGATCCTCTTGAGAATATGGCAGGGCTTGCTAGATATTGCGCCCAAGCATCCGTGATGAAACAACAAGATCATTCTTAAATTTTTCAGCTTCATAAGCTCACCATTTGTAGTGTGACTGGGTTTAAGAAATGGTTAAAGCTTACAGGGAATAGCTTGGCAGAAAAACCTGTCTTCTTTAGTTTGACACTGGATCTATGAGGCTAATTTAGTTAGCAAGTAAAGGAAGTTTATATACAGCTACAAACATAGAGAAATCTGGGTAATAAAATAATCACTGTTAATCACAGGTAAAGTAAATTGTGGCTTCAAGGTGGCTGTTTTTAGCCATGCTAATATCTGTTTTCCCATTTCAATAGAAAACAGTATATCAAACGTGCCTGTTACTGCCTACATTAGCTTGAATTTACGATTCTATGAAATACAGTTTTCCTCTTTGCGCTGTGCACACCATGACTTGCCAGACACACTGACACAGCTGTCAAACACTCATAAATATTCCTCTGCTTGCCTGTATTTATGATTGACGGTGTGATAAGTATTGCAACTCCCTCCATGTTACAGAGGCTCTCCCCATGCTGATCATCATCGGTGCTTCAGTTGCAGGCGGCTGCGTCTTCATCGTCGTCATCACCCTGGTGTCCGTCTGCTGCCGCCACACAGCCAAAGGTGAGGTCAAAGGTCAGGGGTTGGGGTGTGAGCACATTTTTATGTGTGCATTCAGAACACGAATGGGTGGCAATCAAACTGTCCAACTAGTAGAAGGTTAATTATAAGGGCAGCTAACTTTCCTGGCAAAGCGCTGACCTCTGCCTCTCTGTGGAGCGCTTTGTGAAGTTGTTCTCCTCATTAATCTCTGTCCACTCTCTCCTTTGCTCTGCCCACAGGTAAAAAAGGGACACGTCTGTCCAAGAGCGACATCCGTGTGCAAATCGTGCACAGTGACCACAATGCTGCCCGTGGAAATGACGATGAGGAGGATGTGAAGGAGCCGATGGTGAGCATCTCTAAAATACCTTTAGATTACCCTCATTAAAAAAAAGGTGCCAGGAAGGATTCTTTGTGCAATTCCATGAAAGAACCACTGTGGATTCCCAAGAGAACCTTTCAATGGATGGTTCTTTAGATAACGTCTTTTGTAATGATGTGTGAGTGTAAAAAACCTTTCTAAAGAACCTTTAGAAGAGAAAAGAACCATTAAATTCTTTATATTACATGATAGTTTTTTTGAGCCTTTAAAGGTTCTTCACACTTACAGTTCTCTTTTTCAGGCAAGGGTTCTTTAGGGAGCCAAAAGTGGTTCTTCTATGGCATCTCTGAAAGAACCATTTGTGGCATCTTTACTGTTAAGGGTATAAATACACAGTTAAAAGAGAAAAAATTAAAAAACAAAACGTTAAAACTTAATAAAAAATTCAATGTACTGCCAAAGTCGTACGAATATCATAAAACATTAGCCCATATAAAGACATTATCCAGCATTTGAGCTTTTTTAGGCTTTTTCATGCTTGGTCACACATTGTATAAGAACATCCTGAGGTTTTCGGAGCTCAGCTGGTTTGCAGTGTGAAAGTGCAGTCGCAGCAGTATGTAACCCAGGCGTGTGTGATTCTCTCTCTCAGGCTCCCAACAGCAGTGAGTCTCCAGGGACGTCCCGCACTGAGCACAGCGATCTACTAGAGGAGGAAGATGATGAGAGATCAGATATCAAGGTAATACTCTTTACAAAAATGAGAAGAGTAGTCAACGAAGTTCATCAAGTTCAGTGCAACATCTGTTAAAAATATGTAAAACACAGAAAGCTGCAGATTATGAAAAAATCCACTCAGTATTTTTGCCCACTAGCCACTTAATGAAGTGCACCTACCTTATAGTTCCACCATATAGGTGTACAATCTGTTGTCATGGACAATGTCAGTCACCTTTTTTTCATGGCATGGCGATGATGCCTTAGGTAGATGGTGGCTGGCAATTTGTGCACAAAAACAGATGAACTACAGTCAATAATTGTAAACTTTCAGACTGACCTTATATGGTACATGTACGGAATATAATTGCCAGTGAGGACTGGAACAAGATTAGCATAGCTAAGAAGCTGGCAACTACAGGTATATAATATTGCTGTCCTCTCTCACCACCCAGGACCCTACTAATGGCTACTACAACGTTAGAGGCCACGAGGACCGCCACATCACCCGCAGTGGCTTCTCTGAGTACGTCCCCAACTCTAGGCCGGTTTACACACCATCCCAGCTGCCCTCCCCCAGCCCACTGTATGGCCAGCAGGCCAATGCGCAGACCCGCATCTACGACTTCTCCAACCGATACGCCACCACCCCAGGAACACGCAGCACCTACGAGCAACAACCACAGCAACAAACGCAACAGCAGCAGGCCACACCCACCATTTACCCACAAGAGCCCCTGTATTCAGGCTCCGGCTACCTTCCCTCCACTTATGGCCGTGCCTTCACCAGCTATGTCAAACCAGCCTCCTACGAGAAGGTGGATGGCTACGAGAACTCGGACGAAGCCAGCAAAGTGTCCAGCTCATCCCGCTTCTCCTATGCATCCTCGCAGGTTTCCTCACAGCAGTCCGACTACGGACGCCCATCCCAGCAGCGCATGCAGACTCACGTGTGAACAAAGCAGTGGAAAAGGAGACTTACCCATGGCATGGCACGTTCAACCAGAGAAGGCTCTGGAATTGGAATTGGAATTGACTTGGAATTCTCCCTCCTCCAAACTCTTTTTCAGAAAGAAAGATTGTTGGGTCGATTTGAATGGGGCAGTGAGGTCAAAAGCTGTCCCTTGGTTGTTTGTCACTTCTTACCTGAATGTGGATGTTGAAGGAAACTTTCTGAGAAAGTATAGCTCTGTTGTGTTGTTCCGTCACCTCTTGACTGCATAAGCTAATTTAATTGTGTTTAGCCTCGTCTACTAGCTAAACTTCTGGTGAACGAATTCCATCCTTTGTATTTCACTCGACTTGTTGCATTTACGCAAGGAGACACATGAGAATGCTACAAGCGATCCCCCTTCTGGATCTCAGAAGGGGTTGATGATGTGATGGGACTAATGAAATGAACTGTTCACAAGAAAATGTGAAACTAACCTTTGTAAATGAGAACTTTCGTGACATTTCGCTGGACCACAATCAAAAAAGAAAAAGAAAAAAAAGACAAAAAAAGAGAACAGACTTACAATTTAAAACTTAAATAATCCAAAAAAATGGACAACAATGTCTTACTTGATGGCATGCTGAAGGAATTGTAAGCACATTTGTGTGTCCATGACATGAGGACTACCCTCCAACAAAGGAATTCAAGGATAAACAGACCAGACAAGAAAGAACTAGTGGTAGTTCTGGGTCTTTTTTTCAGAAGCCTTCCGTCTGCTGTTTGTGTCATGTTTGTTTGTGCTCTTGAGGGGCTATTTTTGAAGAATACAATGAACTTGCCGGATCGGCAAGAGAAGCGGCAATCCGAATGCAGTGAATAAAGGCTAAGCGTGCAGCACTTTGGGTACATTTCTGTCACTTCGGTGGAACAAAGAGATTAACCTCAAATGAAGATGCAACCCAGACAACGAAAGAGGGTGTCATTTTGTAACCATTGCCCAAAAACACAGCTGCCCATATGAAAATGGAACATATTGCAATGTGTTGTGAGTATATTCCAAAATGTAAATAGAATATATTGGAATGTACTTTCAATGTATTACCTTTTTGTATGGGTGGGTTTGGGGTTGATTTCAAATGTGCCTCGGCTGAGCCTAGTTGGTTGGTGGCAATCTGCGCTCTAAAGACAAGGTGCCATGAAGGGTTCTTTGAGCGAAGCAGTATGAAAAGAGACTTGTGAGTGCGAGGAAACTTTTGAAGACTTAATGTAGGGGTTCTATACCAATTTAAGGGTTCTTCCTAGAAACTTTAGAATGTGTGGAGGTTCTTTAATCCAAAAAAAGGTTTCTTCACACTCACTGCAAAAAATGGTATCTTGTCAAGTGAAATGATCTTAAATCTAGTCGATATATCTAATATTTCCCATTTTGAGATTGGTGTACACTTATTATAAGATTATTTTATTAATAGACATTATTTATGTGTTTTGGGAAACTTTATCAAATAAAATTAACTCACTATACTGGCAGGTAATTTTGCTGGTTTCAGGCACATTTCCTAAAACAAGCACATTTTTTGCTAATATGGTGAGAAAATTTTACTTAATAAAATTACTTAAAACAAGTGAAATGTCTAGAAATAATGTAAATAATCTTTAATTAAGCTTACAACAATCTCAACAGGAGAAATATTTGATTTATTGACCTTATTTAAGATAATTTAACTTGACAAGATACCATTTTTTTGTTTATGCTTCCATTAAAAGGTATTTTAGCGAAACAAAAGTGGTTCTTCTATGTTCAGGAGGTCCAGGACTGGAAGAACCCGGTTCTAAGACATAGGGCAATGAACCCTTTCTGGCACCTTTATTTTTAACAGTGTGACACAAACACAAAGCCTTGAGACAGTTTAGAGCCTACTGTGTTTTTTAAGTAAAGGAAGCATGGGCTAAGACCTTACCGACTTTGATGACACAATCAAGTATCTCCAAGATGTTTACAGATAAAAAAAAAAGAAGCGAACTACAAAGCTACAGATAAACGAGTGTATAAATCCGGGGAAACCCCTCTTCCTCCTGTCTGTTGCATGCAGATGATGTGTCTATGTGAACGTACTTGAGCATTTCTTTCTGTGTCCATTCCCTGTGTGAGACATTGCTTTACCGCACCCTACACGATTTGGATCGGATCGTGGCAATCCACACGTCTGGGTTTTTTCCCGTACTGCCATTTTTTCTTCAGGCCTGAGTGGTTGGCTCTATTGGGGAAAATGAGAGAGAGAGAACAAATTTCACAAAGTGAACTGTGTCGAAAAACACAACATTGCTTGTCTTTATTTTTATACTTTATATAAGCCTTAATGTACAGCTTGTAAGCTGCTCTACTGTAAAGTACATTTATATTATAAATGCATAGAAATATATATCTGAATCTGAATTTTATTTCCTCCACAATCTGTTCGCCCTTAGGCCTGAGTTTTCTTCATCGTTCTTGAGGAAGTCAGAGGACATGTTTTTTTGTTTCTTCGAGACACAATGAATTGTCCTTTTCTTTCTTTTTTTTAAGATTATGTATTAAGGTTCTACTTGCTAAAATGTTGCTTGTAACTTTGTACACATATTTATATTTAAATAAAATCATTTCAAATAAAAAAGCAGACGCGAATGTGGAGTCGAGTTGCCACGCGCCAGTGAATCTTGTCAGATGCCACGTGGGAGCCGAGATAAACAATAATGGTGTAGCGGAGTTGATGAATACATAAATTAAAGGCTCTGCCTATGTTGATTCTCCAATCCCCACAGCGTCAGGCGTGGCTTTTAATAAAGATGGATGAGTTTCCACGGCCTCCCCGCTGTCTGTGAATCAAACAGAGCTGGCAACGCACGTCTCTCTCAGCACGCCATGCTGGGGGCTGGGTGACATTCTGTCTCTCTCTCTCTGTCTCTCTCTCTCTCTCTCTCTCTCTCTCTCTCTCTCTCTCTCTCTCTCATCTTTTGCACACTATTTCTATCTCTTCATTTTGTGTCTCTGTATCTTATATCTCTCATGCTGTCTTTCTTTCGCTCTCTGACTTTTATATACACTCTATTTCTCTCTCTTTCTCTCCCTTCTTGTGTTTCTTTCTTTTCTCTCTTCCTCTCGCTCGCCCTGTTCTCCTTTCTCTATCGCACTCTCTCTCTCTCTACCTCCCTTTTAATCTTTTTCTGTCCTCTTTATCACTCTCACTCATCCTTCCCCTTTTTCTCTCTGTTTCATACTTTTTCTTTCTTTCTTTCTTGCTTTCTTTCTTTCTTTCTCTCTCCCTGTCCCTTCCCATCTTTCTTTCTCATGATTCTGTCTCTAATCATCTTTCTTGTTTTCTCTCTTTCTTTCTTCCTTCCTTTCTTTCTTTCTTTCTTTCTTTCTTTCTTTCACACTCACATTTTTAACACTTCATTCTCCATTTTTCTGTTTTCTTCCTGATTTTTATACATGCTCTTTGCCTTTCTCCCTTTTTCTTTTTCTTTTCTCCTCCTCACTCTTTCACTCTTTTTGTCTCTCTCTCTCTTTGTCTCTCTCTCTCTCTCTCTCTCTCTCTCTCTCTCTCTCTCTAACTCTGTCGCTTTCCCTCTCCCACTCCATCTCTCTCCCTCTCCCTCTCTCGCTCTGTCACACAGGGCTCCCGCTATAAAGACTGAGATGGACACAAATCCACAGTCAGCATTTCGCTCTCAGAAAAGACCTCAGGCACATTTGGTTTGCGTCCATATTTCATTTAGCTGAACAGGATTAAGTGAGCTGGATGAAATGCAGCGCACTCCTGTCAGCACCTCTCTACCAGCTCTTAAGCAGGTTCACACTTACGTCTATCTATAGACCATGTAATTTACACTGTAAACACATGCAGCTAGCAGGTCTCTTGGGTCACCTTGGTGATGATGAGAGGAATCTCATAGACTTTCACATCTGGCGCTTTATAACTGCTCATTTTGGCTCTGGTATTCATCCGGCTGACTAGTCATCATCATTCGGGAAAATGAAATAAAGAGTTTTCTTCCAAATTATGAACCACTTTCCTTTTAATGATACACATTGTTGGCAGTGAGTTTTACACATACAAGAAATATCAGTGCTGTGTTGTATTTGATATCACCTTTAATAGGGATATAAAATTGTGTTTTCAATTATTCTTTCTTTCTTTTTCTTTCTTTCTTTCTTTTTCTTTCTTTCTATTTTTCTTTCTTTTTCTTTCTTTCTTTCTTTCTTTTTCTTCCTTCTTTCTTTCTTTCTTTTTCTTTATTTCTTTCTTTTTCTTTCTTTCTTTCTTTCTTTCTTTCTTTCTTTCTTTCTTTCAGTAATACGTCAGCCATTGTTCTTTTGAAAAACTCTATATCCAAAACTGTTACAAATGAATATACAGCATTTTTGAATGAAACTTCAAATTGTCTTGTACTTTAAAATAGCTTTCAATTTTCTTGCAAGTTTGATACAGTGGCGAATTGTAACGTTTAAAACTTACCCTGCGTTCACACCAGCAGCAACTTTTCACCTGTTATCACCCAAATCGCTGATTGTTCATCACCTGTGGGCGTTTCTGAACTCCAACTGACCATTGGTTGCCATGGTTTCACTGACCCCAAGCACAAATCAGACGCGTTCCCACTAAAATATTAAATAAAAAAAATCCTGGTGATTTACTGTCTATTTGTGGTGAAAGCTCTGCAGCGTTTATTACATCTCTAGTAGGAACAATTAGCTAGGAGCCAAAAATGGGAGCGTACCGTTTCGCAGTGGCGGAGATAAAGCAAATGCTACGCTGCTGAATGCTCAATTCCTATTGGTAATCGCCACACCACTTCGCTCCTTATTTGTCAACTTTGTCGCATCGCCGACTCGGCCCACTTTGCGTTGCCAGTGTTCACGTTGCATCCTGTAGCCAGAAATCGCCAGCTGTAATTGAAAATAAATGACCTCCGGCCTTTAGTTAGCCTTCAGTTCACGCCTCGGATGTCAAAACTCAAAAATGCGAGAAAAACTCCTACTCTATGATTTTCTACTGGCACCCACATAGGATTTGTTAGCACATCAGTGCTGAGCTAAATATGGTGCACATGAACAGGTTTTGGCCGTTCTAGACTGAACAAAGATATTTAAAACTTGTAACAGACATTCACGTAAATGTTACCACTGATGTTGCGGTTTTACGGTGAGTCTTTTAGTAAAGAAGCATAGAGCTGTTTTCCATGAACCTAGAACTCAAAATTCTCCCCAATCATGTTTCTCACGTTCTTTATTTCTTTGTTTTTTCTTTTTCTTTCTTTCTTTCTTTCTTTCTTTCTTTCTTTCTTTCTCTCTCCCTGTCCCTTCCCCTCTTTCTTTCTCATGATTCTGTCTCTAATCATCATCTTTCTAATGAACTTCTAGAGAAACATTTTATCTTATGAAATTGGTTCCACTTGATTGGTTGATCCCTCTGTCAGTTCCTAATGATGTTGGTAGCTAATTTAATGTGTAAGGCCTGCTGTGCAGCTCCTGAAGTCAATTGGAGAGCTGACCTGGTTGTATCTACCTGGATACCATAGAGAAAACAATCCTGATAGGATTGAGCATCCCATTGAGCATTTCAAGAATTGAAATCTTTGGTTTTCAACCAATCATATTAAAAAAAAATTACCAAAAAGCACATGCATGTATTCCTTAGCTCTCAGAGATCATTCGGCCTTCTCTGACAGCGCTGATTGTTCTTCACACTGTCAAAACACCCAAAAGGTAGCAGTAAAAGCAGACGTACAGTGTAAATATTTATAGACTGGCAGCAGTAAGAACCTCCATATTTTAAGCTCATAAATGGCACAGTAAAGATTGTACACCATCAACAGTAAAGATGACCACATCATTCTTCAAGAGAGAGAAAGACTAAACTTTTCCTTCTATGGTAACAAATCTCCTCTCGGCCTCCTGTACAGTTGGTTTCGTTATAACTCAGCATCAGCTCCATCACCGTTTCTCCCCATATGTAGTGTCATACTTCGCTGCTGCTTCTCTGCACCAGTGGAGGCCTTAAATGAGGCTTGAATTTTTCGCTGCTACTTCAGTGAGCATTTGGCTGCATTTGAGACTGCGTGAGGCGTTTGGTGCAGCAGCATCCAAAACTCATCCAAAACCCATTCGAAAGAGGAAAAGGCAGCAGCCCGTAGCGTGCCTTCTTTAGAAATGTCTGGTTTTCACTGTTACTTCAACAAGAAATTACATTAGCACAAAACAGCTGCTGCACAGCAACAAGAAAGCATCTGTATGGTAGTATTTTCTGAATATTTTAGGAATAACTTTTTTCTAGATATCTTTACTTGTTTTAGTAATGTCTTCTAGTTAAAGTGTTTGACTCCTTTGA